AAAATAATCGCCTTTTTTCTTTTATTCATTCCAGAAAAGGAACTGCTTGCTATTTTAATAAGAAAAGTGGCTAAAATTCCGTAAATACTCTGAAGTAGAACGTAAAATATCGGCAAACTCATGAAAGTAGTCAAAAACAAGCTACTGTAATTTTATTGGTTTATTATAGGGCCACGTGTTTCCGAGTTGCAACGTCAACGAACAATGTGTGACCACGAGAAGACGCGCGCGACTCGCGCTTGTTGCAGTTGCAGTCACCTGCGCGGCTAGAAATCGCATAGTGTGACCAGGGCTTTGGAGAAGTTGTTGCATTCGCATGACAATATGAATAAAATAATGATGTCGGAAAATGCAATCGAACAGGACAAGGAAGAAAGCATTGTTGAAAATGAGTCAGAAAGGGTTAACTCTTTCCGCCCTGTGGGTACTAAGATAGCCTCGTTTTGCAAGTCCATTATGGGTTCGGCCAGGCCCACAAAAAGGCGGGCGAGTGGTGAGGGACGACATATGCGGTCGGACCACCCCGAAAATTTCTGGAGATTTTTCGACCCATCCGGATGCAATCCCGGATCCCCAGAGCGGTAGGCCGCCACCTTAACCGCTCGATCATCCGGCCTCTTCCTGACGATTTATCGATTTCCGGTCCATCGTTTTTTTTTTTTTTTTTTTTTTTTTTTTCGTTTCGTAATGGAAAACAGTGACGTGACGATTTTAAGCTAAGTATTTTATGTAGAGTAGCTACTCAGTATCATCTTAGAGTTTATTATAATTATGGATTAATAATTATGGACCCATAAATTCCCACTGCAACCGTCTGTTTGTCCTTCCTAAAGCTCGAGAACGAAGTTAGACAGATGAAAGTTGAAACCAGATATGGAAATCGTAGAGGCAGGAGGTCCCGATTAACTATATACGAACTTCCGGCACAAGCTGGAAGTTACGTTATTTCAATTCAAAAAGTTTTCCCTGAAAGGAGTTAGTTAGATGGCCGGCACGACTCTACTGTTAACAAGGAAAGTATGATGTACAGGGGTTAAATTAAAAAAAATATATTTTTATATATCATAACATGATCTTATTCTGAAAATATTAAATATGAATTTCTAAAATAACTTTAGTTTGCACGCTCTTCGTCACGAATGTGTTTCATAATGGTACGAGATAGAAAATAAAAAAATAAAAGTACGTTGCAAAGCCCTCTGAGACCTCATATCAAAATCTTTCCTGAAATGCGGTCCTCCAGGTTATTCATCATTTTTTTATCATGCCGACGAACATTTTATTAAAAATATGAAAATTTTTTACTTATTTAGTTTCAATAAAATTTTCATTTACTGAATAAATAATAATAATAATAATCATAATAAATCTGTTAAATTTCTAAGGATATTTAGATTAAAATTCTAATAATTAATATAAGTTTCGCATCGTATTTAAATTATCTCAAAAGAAATTAATTAAAATCGAAACAATATTTCTCAATTTAAGCCAAAGTAACAATTAATTATTGTGGGATGATTGTAAATGCCAAATTTTGCAGTTTCTATGTTACACAGACAAAATAAGGGGCTAAAATTCTACACTAAGATTAAAATTCTAATAATTAATATAAGTTTCGCATCGTATTTAAATTATCTCAAAAGAAAATAATTAAAATCGAAACAATAGTTCTCAATTTAAGCCAAAGTAACAATTAATTACTCTCTGTTTGTTATTTTTCATTGTGAAGAATGCATTTTTTCTATCCATCACAACCCATTTCTTCTTTTGATTACTTTCATTTGAAAGTGTAAAGTTTTATATAAGTGAAAGGATCTCAATTAAAAGATAAGTGTAAATCCATCTTCAATATTCAAAAAACTTATTATTAATTTTAGAATTTTTCAATTTTCAGGTCAAGAGATCCAAAAGGGAAGTTTTTTTTTATTTTTTAACATTCAATGATTGATTATTTATAATTTCGATTTATATATCAGGTGACGAATCAATCGAAAATGCTTCAAAGACACAGCATGATTGTCATTTTAGTGTTTTAGAATTGCTGATTGAAAACTTTGTGGAAAATTGGATTTGCAAATTGCACTGGAAGATCTCAATACTTGATTATAGAAGAAAATACCATTTGATTGGATATATTTGCCTGTCTTATCTCTTATAAATTGCAAACAATGTACAGAATTAATTTTTAATTTCAATTGGATAGTGCTTCAGCATTGTTGTGCCACCAATGATAAAACTTTACTGTTTTCCTCACTTGGATATGGTGTACCAATTCCAGTTCCATAACATTCTAAATGTATGAATACAGAATTTCAAAGATGATTTTGCATATCTCAACAATATTTGTATTTGTAAATGTGGTGATTCCAGTTTTTCCCATAATGGCGATTCT